TGCTGCACACCAATGGCAGCTAATATATTAAATTTGTTAGTTTGGCGATGAGATCTTTAATTTGATCCGATTATGTCTAATCTTATTGACTGACAACACAAACACCTCTATTGTGACAACTATAGTTTACCTGCATTTGCATTCCCACAATAAGCAGGCCATTGAGCAGGTAGATCGAACAAATGTTCAGCTTCTGATGGAATACCATGGATAAACGATAGGTAAACTGTAGTTATGTATCTATTATATTAACATGTGCTTATTTCTTTTCTCGTTAAAAGGGTAGAATATATACGGACTCATCATTATCGAAAGATTCGGGAGGAACAGGACGTGCTTGAATGGTTTTAACTGGTCTATCTTTTGTTTCAAAATAACTGAAACATGGAACTTTGCCAATACGAGAGTGTATTAAATCACATATTTCCGGTGTATCGTATCTCTACAACAATGACAATCTTTTTTATTACATATTTTTTACTCGCAGGTATTTCACTATATTAATTTAAACCACAATGAATAAGTAGAATTCTAGTGATTTCCTAAAGAGTTCCTCGAAATGCGGTATTTGTATTGAGATGCATATATTAAAGAATTCCTTTCTTTCAGTTTCCAATTTCATCCAAATAGAACTTCTATCAAAAGAATTCGACTTATAAGAGGTAAATCTTGTCACAATCCTAATCGAAATAGGAAAACATACTGTTGCATTTAGTTGAAGTTCTGGTATCCATTCTTCACCCTTATTAATAAGTTTTTGTGGTAACGGATACCATGGGTAAATTTGAATGTAATTTTCTACACCATGTAACCATCTGACGGGAAATGCGCCTATATCAATCATTGAATTTGTTCTATACCAACAATTGTTCTGGAAAAAAAAGTTTATTTGAAGAGAAGAACAAGGAAAATTGCTTTTTTACTTTTGTGAAATATGGGAAATCAGGATTGAAATTAAACATTGTATAACCCTGCGAAGCTGGCTAAAAAAACGTTTCATGATTAATCTTTTTGTTTTTCATAATGAATTATTTTCTACTCACTGAATCTGCTTCAGCACCTTTGGGTTTATATTGAAGCATCCAAGTTTCATTTTGTTTTGCTCGCGATCCTTGAATATCAAAACGAGCTCTTAAATTTTCGTAATCATACAAAAATTGTTTAACACCTGGAAATGGTGAATCCCAAGAACCTATTCCACTTATATTCAATATTGCTTGAAATTGTTTTGGGAAACCATTTTGACTTAAACATTGATTAACAAATAGAATCAATAGCATCGAAACTATCATTTGTTTCATTTTTCAAACTTTTTATAGTTTATTCGCAATAGTGGAAAAATGTGTATTGAAAAAACAGAAGAAAAGTTATTTTTATATACCGATACTTGCTCTGTCATTGTTAAGAATGATAAAAAATAGTAGTCAGTCATTCACACTAGTCAGGATGATGCAGTAGAAGGAAAGAAAGAAATATACGAATTTTCTGTCTTATAGATAACGTGCATCAGTGACAGAACGAAAAAAGTGACTAGTGTGTGTGAGTGAGTGACTATTCTTTGTCCCATCCGTATTAACACAGATATTATATTACAATGCCAATTGTAATGTTATATACAACTTAAGCCATCACTAAAATTGAATAGGCGTATTCTTTTTCAATTTATAAGGCATCCTCAATCATCAACTCTGTATATCATAGAGAGTGATCTATATTCTCGTTTGAATAAGATACATTCATGGTGACCGATTCAAAAATCACAGGCACTATTCCAGAAGTGGGGAAAGAGTCTTTTTTCTGATGTAAATAAGTATGTACTATAACAGGACTTCGGATGGGCTGGGTTAAAAGCTCTAGCTCATGGGTCGAACGTCTGAAAAAGAGGGTTTCTTTCTAACATATGTCGGATATAAGCATTGTCTGAAATATATTTTGTAATACTATAGTTCTGTTCTTTTATTGGTTTTGGACTTGTCACCAATATTGAACAGGTAAACACATGGAGAGAGACCACATCGTCTTTCTTACCTTTTCTCTGATGTTTCTGTTCTTTTGTGATTCTAATGTTTGTGCTAGACGAATAAGAGCTGCTTTTGGTTTTTGTATCCTTTTCTTTTTTGTTTCTTCTCTGAAAAGATTTTCATACAAAAGAGGACAGTGTTTTACTGTCTGCAAATCAATTAAAGAGCTAATAGAGGAAGAAAAAGAAGCCGTCAAAATAATATCAAATAAGATTTTTTGTTGATTTGGCTTTTTCTTCTAGTTTAGTCAATTTTCAACGATATCGATGCAGTGAGCATAAAGCACAAGTACTGACTCCTCCTATTCTACTGCTACTAGTTTTGTTTTTTCAACATTTGTACGGGTGAAAGATAATACTAAGCCGTAATAATGAGTAAAATACACAAAAGAAAGTATCTGATCGGTCCTAATAATCGGACGCTGAGCTAGTTACCATCGCTAAATCTGCCAGTAAGCAATGTTATAGTAGTTGAATCGATAGAAATAAGTAGACTGACCGTTAAATACAATCAAAGTTCTTCATTACTTAACACCAATAGAGGGTCGGTCTGTTCGCTAAAGCGGGTCACGACTGGTACCGATATCAGTAGGCAAAAATTCCTGTCGGTTTCACCTCTGCGCTCAACTGGTTGTTCGCATGAAAAAAAAATTATGGTTGATTATGAAGAATTGTATGAAATAGCTATGAATAGACTCGTGAAGTGGTATAAGTAATGATAACAATTAGTCTCGATCAGCATGGGAATGAGGATGTGCTGGAGTGGAACTTTTTATTGGCTGCCTACACTCTTAAAAAAAAACGTTTTCTCAGAAACCGAAACCCCTTTCGGAAACCCATGAACGTATCCGGAAAGGTTTCCGAACTCATGTTAAGTTTCTGAAAATACCTTCAGGGTTTCCGAGCATTCGAAAACTGATGAGTTTTCGAAAGATAGCTCCAGAAACTCTCAACCGTATTCTCCGAAACCCTCGTGCTATTTTCTAAACCCGAAAGGTGTTCCTGGAAACCGCTTTTGATTTAAAAACCTTCTCGAAAACCTTTGCGTTTCCGATAATTTTTTATTGAAAACCTATCTAGGTTTCCGAGAAACCCAGCATAGTTTCCGAACATCTACCGGAAACATTTCAAGGCTTTCGAATCTTTAGAAAATCCTTGCATTTCCGAAAAAAAAGTTCCGAAAACTCATCCAGTATTCTCAAACACCGAAATAGCATTCGGATATCTTCTTTCCGGCTCTCACATTACGATCGTTACTTTAGAAGTCTAGGAATTGCTCGATGTGGATGGTATAAAAGTTATTCAAGGTAAGCGGAATTGGTTTGTACAACCATTAGAATTTTGAGAATTAAAATAAATACTCTGTTCCCAAGAGAATCTCGACTCGTTTTTACATCTTTCAGTACCTAAAAACCTGAATGAATCATGACAAATTTTACTACAAGAATCGAATAGCTGCACTAAATCGTCAGGTCATTCAAATAATGGTGTCTTTCTCCTTCTTCATTCATTTATGTTTCATCCAAGTGCAAGCATTATCGTCCTTGTCAATAGGTTGCAACGAAATATAGTGCAAGTTTCGGCTGTTTGAGGACCATTTCAATCGATTTATATAGAAGAATGATAGGAAAGGAACGATGGAAAACATGAAGAAATCTTCATTTGCAAGAGAATGTAAAACAAATATCGGGTGTCTCGGAATGTTTGCAACATAATTTATTCTCCACATATCTCCATAAACGTAAATGATAAAATCTTAAATTTTTTTCAAAACATGTGTCCTGATATTCTGTATAGTGGTCAAAAATAAAAGATCTTCTTGGCTCGTGCTAATGGATTTGAAGAAAGCTAAAATAGAACACGTATCAGATGTTGCAGTTTCTTACTGTAGTATCGATGTGAACGCTTTAAAAAAAACACATTTACTATCTAAATCAACTCATATGTACAATACTCATTTCTGAATACCATCGTCTCGATAAAGTGCGCATCTTGAGTTCGAAACAAGTCGGAAAGAATAAAAGGCCTGCGAAACGTGATTGTTGTTTAGCTGAAGAAGAAAACAAATTCTGAACAGTGACAAACTATAGAATCTCATACACGTTTCCTGTTAGCTCTCTCCAAATCTATTAGCACAAGTCAAAAGAATTTCTGCGTTCACCTATTGTAGAGAATGTCATGCGGTATCATTTCGAAAATAAGTTGACATTTTCATGAATCGTCTGTTTGAACACATAAACAAAGTAAAATATCTTGGAAGCATTCTGAAAAAAAACGGTAGATATTAATTTCTTCACACCGCAGGATATAGTTTCCCTAACTGATCCGGTAAAAGGTTTGCAGAAAAACGCGAACACAAAAACTGCACTTCAACGGTAATGAAACAAACGACCCCAAGATTCCAAATGACATCAACATACTGCTTTCGGCAGCAATACAAACACCAGAAGTCAGACTGCCTTAAGACTTTGACTTTAATATACAAAAAGCTTTCATCACTATAGGACTTCACTTGACTTCATGATTCTGAGTTCGACAGGATTTAAGACCTAATGACGTTCACTAACTTCATGCCCATGGCTTTGAGAGACATGCAGACAAAAATTCTAACTGACTTCATGTTGGTAGTTTCGAGAGCTGTCAAGACTCCAAGACACAAGACTGATTTTACGGCTCTCGCTCAAAAAAAAAATAAAGATTCAATGCCTAAGACTGACTTCGTGATTATGATTGTCAAATAAAGGAAGACACAGGACTAAGGCCAACTTTTTCACTCAGTCTTTTGGAGGGATACATGAAGACTAAAACAAAAAGACTGCCAGCACGATGCCGGTTGTACGACACATGAACACGTTAGAACTCAGACTAAATCAATGACATTCTATTTAGGAGACTTACAACAGCTATCAATTTCACTAACTCCATGACTGTGAATTTGCAAAGCGAGAACATTTCAGGGATTTAATTAGATTCATGTCTCTGTCTTTCAAAAAATACAGCACTTTGATTTACATCAAGTCTAAGTCCTTGACTAATTTAAAGACTTTACAAATTAAGCTGACAATATAACTCTGGAACTAACAGACATATACACTGGGAGAATTTCATTATTTTCATAGTACTCGCTTTAACGCACATGAACACTGAAGAAACTTTACAAAATTCATGAGCTTACAGTAAGAAGCTATTCTTGTCTTCTTGTACTATGGATACATGTTAGCCAATATGAAACTGAAATCAATATCAGGGAGTTAGATTACGGGATTAGAATAAGGGAACGGATATAGATTAAGAAGTTAGAGCAAGGGAATACATTAGGGGATAGAATAAGTGCTTAGATTAAGTAGTTAGAAACGGGGGACAGATTAAGCCGTTAGAATAATGGGATAGATATAGATTCAGGACTTACAATAAGGCGATAAAATAAGGGGTTAGAATAAGGGGATAGAATGTGGGGTTAGAAATAGATTAAGGACTTAGATTAGGATTAGAAAAAGGGATTAGGTTAAGGGGACACAAGAAGAGGTCACATTATGGGGTCCACACAAAGGGATAGATATAGACTGAGGGTTACAATAAGGGAATATATAGAGATTAATGAGTTAGGATAAGGAGGCAGACTAAGGGGATAGATTAAGGGGATCAAATAACGGGTTGCAATAAGGGGATAGATTCAGGGGTTATATTAAGGGATAGATATAGATTAAGGGGGGAGATTAAGGGATAGATATATATTAAGGGGAAAGATTAAGGGATAGATAGAGGTTAAGGGAAGCGAATAACGGTTAGATTAAGAGAGTAGAATAAGGGATAGATACAGATTAAGGAGATAGAATAAGGTGTTAGATTAAGGAGTTAGATTAAGGGGATAGAATAAGGGGTTATATTAAGGGGATAGAATAAGGAATTAGATTAAGGGGATAGAATAAGGGGTCCGATTAAGGGATAGAATAAGGGATTAGATTAAGGGGATAGAACATGGGATATATATAGATTAATGGGTTAGATAAAGGGGATAGATTTAGGGGATGGAATAAGGGGTTAAAATAAGAAGTTAGAATAAGGGGATAGATTAAGGAGATAGAATAATGGGTTAAAATAGGGGGATAGATTAAGGGGTTAGATTAAGAGATAAATATAGAGTAAGGGGATATATTAAGGGAATAGATTAAGAGGTTAGATTACGGTGATAGATTTGAGGGATAGAATAAGAGATAGATATACATTAAGAGATTAGATTAAGAGGATAGAATAAGAGGTTAAAATAAGAGGTTATAATAG